AAAAAAAAAAGCTCGAAAAAGACTGTGATAAAATCAGCAACCTCCCTGTCTTCCTGCTTTTTATGTCCATCTTTTTCAGTAGTGTCTATATCTTGAGTCATCATTTGTGGCTATATATTGCTTTCGTGCTGAATACCCTGCCACAGCTCCAGCCTCATGTCAAGAGAGCCTGATGATTCAGGGTTGAGTCAGCACCTGATCATGTCTGTAAATATCACACAGCAGGAGAGGCACTAAAGGGGCTCAGAGGTTTTGGTTGTTCCCCCCCCCCCCCCCGTGGAGTTTTTCAGTTACGTCATCTTCTCAGCTCAGCTTTCTATGTGTTGAGAACCTACCTTTTTAAGTATTTTTCTGGAGTACTCAGGAAGCCTGCATACTTAGGGTCTGGGTGCTTCTGGCCCACAGGTCTTAGCTTTTTCCATCTAAACTTTCTTTTCTTTCTTTCTTTCTTTCTTTCTTTCTTTTTTTTTTTTTTTTGGTTTTTCAAGACAGGGTTTCTCTGTAGCTTTGGAACCTATCCTGGAACTCACTTGGCAGACCAGGCTGACCTCAAACACACGGAGATCCACTTGCCTCTGCCTCCTGTGTGCTGAGTGCTGGGATTAAAGGCGTGCGCCACCATTGCCTGGCTCCATTTAAACTTTTACCTCCTCCCTGTGCACTTCAACTCCACTGATTTGATTTTTGTTCTTCCCCACAAGACTTATTACCTTCTAATGTGCTATAAAATTTGCTGATTAAGTTTTCTCTCTTCCCCCACTCCTGTATTAGTACCAGAATACCACAGGAAAACTTTCTGTGTTTAGTTCACTGGTGAATTACCAAGCACAGTGCTTGGCACAGGGGAGGCTCAGTGACTGTTGAAAGGACACAGAGGACCTGGGGTTTCCCTACACTCTATTCCTGTGTATTCTTTGTTTCTTCTGTGACTCTCATATCTTCTTTCTTGGTTTGTTCCTTTATTTTTGATGGAACACATCTTTCAGTAACTTTCTGAGAAAGGGAGTATGATCTCTCTCTCACACCCACACACCTATAGCAATGTATGTATCAATACTCAGTAGTTACTGTAGAGTGTGTTAATGGTTTCATGTATAAAATGGCAGTGAATATTAACCATTTTCATGTTAATCATATAAAAGAGTAATCATATAAAGTGGTTAATATTCTTTCAAAACAAGCAAGACCTAAATAAAACTGACAGGATTGGGAGGCAGTTGAGTAGAATTGGCTGGGTCTGGTTTTGAAACCTGCATTCCGTGATCTAACTCCGAAAGAGTGGTCAGTGCAGCCTCCGTTTCCTCACGTGGATAGTGGGAATGACCACAGTACCTGCTGCTCATAGGGCCATCAAGTGTCAGGCTGACAAAGCCTTCCAGGGTGTATGCTGGCAGGAGCTCTGTCCCCTCTGGCTTGTCTTTGTGAATTCTTCGGATAGGAGTGCGACCTGGAATGTCTTTTGTGGAACTCGGCAGGCGATTTAGCAGTAATGAACTGCACTTTGACCCACTAATACAAATTTATCCAAGAGAGCAAGTAAGGGTGTGTCTGAAGTTTGGTGTAGGACCTGGTTCGTGAGAACAGAACAAAACTGGGCACCATTTTATGCTTGGTATGTTAGTAGAGATTTATCAATATGTGGGTTTATAAACATCCCACCTGTTAATGGAATGTTCCTCCAATGGAGTCCTCTGCAGCTGAGGCAGAAGGCGACCAGGGGCCATAGAGGACACAGGGTGACATAGTGCTGGGTGCTAAAGGAAGGATGGACGGTCAAGTCAGCATGGATAGAAAGAGACCGCAGGGCACTCCGAATTGTTTGTAGTCACCTGATGCTTTAACTCCCCCCCCCCCGAGTGTGTGTGTGTGGGTGTGTGTGTGGGTATACCCATGTGGCTGGAGAAATGGCAGAGGTTAGAACACTTGTTGCTCTTTTTCTGAACACTCACAGGTTGATCACAACCATCTCCAGTTCCAGGTAATTCAATACCTGCTTCTGACTTCTGTGGGCACCAAGCACACATGGGGTATACAGACAGATATACATGCAAGAAACATACAACATAAAAAATGAATAAACTGGGGTCTGGAGAGATGGCTCAGAGATTAAGAGCACTGACTGTTCTTCCAAAGGTCCTGAATTCAATTCCCAATGACCATATGGTGGCTCATGACTATCTGTAATGAGATCTGGTGCCCTCTTCTGGCCTGCAGGCATACATGCAGGCAGAACACTATGATATATTTAAAAATGAATAAATCTAATAAAAATTTAAGAAACTTATTATATTGCATGTGTATGATGGGGATATACACATGCATGGAGTCAGTCATCACCTGCCTTAGGCTGGGTTAAACTCAGGTCCTTAGTTCAGGGTCTAGAATAACTGGCTCACAAGTCTCTAGGGATTCTCTTCACTGGAATACTGAGCTTACAGATGAGCTTAGTAGTGGCTGGCTTTATATGACTATGAGGATCCAAACTCTGGTTTTCATGCCTTTACAGCCAAGCATTTTACTCACTGAGCCATCTCTTAGCCTTTTTGTTTCTATAGACCAGACTGGCCTCGAACTCACAGAGATCTGCCTGCCTCTGTCTCCCGAGTGCTGGAATTAAAGGCATGTGCCACCACTGCCCAGCCCCATTTGTTGTTTTAAGGCCTATAAACATATGGCAGGCTGGAAGAATGGGTCGCTATGGGTTGTATCTTTTATATATATATTTATTATGTATACAATATTCTGTCTGTGTGTATGCCTGCAGGCCAGAAGAGGGCACCAGACGTCATTACAGATGGTTGTGAGCCACCACGTGGTTGCTGGGAATTGAACTCAGGACCTTTGGAAGAACAGGCAATGCTCTTAACCACTGAGCCATCTCTCCAGCCCTATGGCCTGTATCTTTAGGGGTTGACATACATTATACATCCACTAGAGAATGGATGCCTAGGTCCCTATTCTGGCACTGCAAACTGTAGAACTGCCACTCCAGTGAATGCTTCCTCATCTGAAAACTGGGATAACAATGTTAGTGATGCTTTAGGATAGAAGATCTAGGAGATTCCTCACTGAGAGTCAGTATAAAGTCGCTGTTGATGCTGTCACTGTTTCGCAATTCATCCTGCTTACGTGGGATCATGAGTTTACTAAATGCATGCTGGCTGCTCTATGCCACCTAAATTTTCTTTTTTTTGAGACAAAGTCTTGCTATATTACCCAGGTTGGCTTTGTTGTTTTTGTTTGTTTGTTTTGTTTTTTTGAGACAGGGTTTCTCTGTAGCTTTGGAGCCTGTCCTGGAACTTCATGGCCTCAAACTCACAGAGATGCACCTGCCTCTGTCTCCTGAGTGCTGGGATTAAAGGTGTGAGCCATTACTGCCAGGCTTCAGATTGGCTTTGAACTCCTGGACTCAACTGATTCTCCTACAAGGTTAGAAGGCTCAACAGGTACACTCGACTTCATTTGATGTTAAACCGTCTTTTGAGCGGGGGCAGGGAGCAGTATATTTTTAGTAACCTACCGAGTTTGGTTAGTGCTGTCTGTGTGAACGTGTGTGGGTCATCCGTTAGAGGTGGACAACCTTCCAGTGGCCACACCCTCAGAGAAAAAAGGCTCTTTCCCAGCGGCTATCAGTTCCTGCAATCCCTCAGACAGGTGTGGGGCCCTCTCCTTCCTGTGACTGCTTGATCTTGTCAGGTGGCCGCAGCTGCCGGGAGCGCCTGAGCCTCTCGGCCACGCACTCAGGAGACGGCGTTTCTCAGCGTTCTTCGCCGTTTGACAACTCCTACATTCCTTCTTTTCCCTCTCTCTCAACGTTCTCGAAGCCTTATTTGGAAGGGGAATGATATAGATGCCCCATTTATTTTTGTTTGTTTTTTTGAGACAGGGCTTCTCTGTGTAGTCCTGGCTGTCCTGTAATTCACTTTGTAGACCAGGCTGGCCTCGAACTCAGAGATCCTCTACCCCACAAGTGCTGGAATTAAAGTGTGTCACTGGCCAGTTAGCCTAGCAGAATTAGCAAGCTCGGGGGGGGGGGGGGGGGGGAGAATGGTATAGAAGACACCTGGCGTCCACACACAAGCGCGCACGCACATACACTATACACAAAGCACAAAACACTTTTTTTTCCTTCTTTTTCCTGACAGGGTTTCTCTCTGTAGCCCTGGCTGTCCTCGAACTCGCGCTGTAGACCACGCTGGCCTTGAACTCCCAGAGAGTCTCCAGCCCCAGCGCCTCCGCCACCCGATTGCTGGGATTAAAGGCGTGTGCCACCTCCGTTCGGCAACAAAGTTTTTTTTTTAAAGTAAAGATTGTAAAATTTGTATTTTCATCACAATTATAAAACAACAGCATTGTCATTAATAATAACTAAGGCAGGGTGTGGCGGCTCACACCTATAATTTCAGCAGTTGGGAGGCTGAGACAGGAGGATTGCTTCAAATATGAGGCCAGTCTGGCTACACAGTGCGATCCTGTTGAGAGAAAAGGAAATAAGAAGAAAAGCAAGGTCACAAAGACATCCAAAAAGAAAAAAGACACCCACCAAAATATAGGCACAAACAGTTTCCGAGGATGTCAGTGACGGCGGCTTATTTTCTGCTTCCAGTAATAGTATAGCCCAACCGCTCTCACGGATCATTCGTGAGCTGGGACTCAAAGAAACTCAAGGAGTCCAGGCAGCGGGTTCAAGCCCAGCCTTGCTGCTGCCCCAGGCAAGCCTTGGCCAGCTGGCCGGCCAGCCTCAATTTACCTGACCTGGAACGCGGATGACAGCTCGGCGCTCCAGACCCGGCCCCTCCCCGCCTCCACGGATTGGCTCGCTCGGTCCCCCTCTACAGGCGCGCCGGGACCCAACCCGGAAATGCAGCTCCTGGGCGGGGGCGGGGCACTCCCGGCCCGAGGCGAGTGATAGGTATACTGACCAATGGACGTGGGCAGCGGCGTTTGCGTGGCGGAAGTCCCACCCAGCGTCGCGCGGGGGCGGGGTGGCGCTGGGGGCGGCAGGCAGCGGGGCGGGCGCAGGATGAGGGCGGCCATTGCTGGGGCTCCGCCGCGGGGAGGAGGACGCTGAGGAGGCGCCGAGCAGCGCAACGCTGCGGGGGAGGCGCCCGCGCCGAAGCGGGGCTCATGGCCAGGACCACCAGCCAGCTGGTGAGCGCGCGGCGGCTGCAGGGCGCGCCGGTCCGTTACCCGGAGCGTGGCGGTCGCCCGGATTCTGCTAGGCGAGGCGGGGCGGCCCGGTGCCGCGGGCCGGGCGGCGCCTCACCTGCGGCTGGGTGGCGGGCAGGACTGCTGGCGCCGTCCGAGGGTGCCTCTCGGCCGCGGCGGGGAGCGCGGGCCCCGGCTCGGGCTGGCGGCGGCAGCCGGGGGCGCTGACAGGGCGCGGAGGGCGGGGGAGGCCGGGAGGTGTCACCCGGCCGGGCGGGGTGGAAGTGCCTGGAAAGTTTGTTTTCGGCTGTGCGCAGCCTGGAGCCGAGCCTCTGGGCTTACCTTGAGGTCTGGCCTGAGGAGGAGAAGCCTCTGGCCTTTATCTGAAGGAGGGTCTTGGGAAGCAGGCGATGGGAGTTTCTGCTTGTAACACCTGATGCTGGCGGCTCCTCTCCAGACTCTGGTCAGCGGGGCATCTCCGGGCTCCCCTTGCCAGTGGTTCTGCGCTCAGTGAGGTGGGAAGCCCTGGGAGGCCGGGCCTAGAGGCCCCAGTGAGGGCAGCCTGAGTTTGACAAGGAGGAGGGGTTTTAGAGGGGGAAAAAAAAAAACAAAACTAACCACTTGTTGGGTGAAATGTTTCTGTTTTCTCTGTGTTATTAAAAGTATCCGTAGTTGTAGTTTCTGTTTTAGAGTTCTGAAGCTCAAGGTGCATCAGCTCGTCCACCTTGTGTGCGATATGAGGTGGCTGATGGAATGTCAGACACCTAGCAAACTTTGGTTCAAAGGCAGACCCCCCCTCCCCCCGTTGGGCTAGGGCTGTCGTTAGCGGCCACCTGCTTGCCCTGTAAGTTCAGAGCTCTTGGGCTCGATCCTTCCCCCTACCTTCCTTGTGGGTGGGGTGGGGCGGGAAGGGAGTTGTAGATCTCTTTACTCAGGCGGACCCAAGAAACTCACTTGCTCCAGTATGGTCTCGGCTGCGGCTGTGGTAGTGGCTTTTAAATGGTTCTGGAGGGTCAGGAGTCCCTTTGAGAATCTGAAAGTATGGGCCCCGTTTGAGAAGCGTGTACAGCTGCTCTGAATTTTGTGGCTACTGGAGGCTCTTGAGCCTTCTGCAGTTCATCTGTGGGCTTCCAAGTTATAGCCTCCCCTTGTAGAGATGGGTGATAATTAATCCAAGTTCTAAAAGGAGGAGAACCTATCCTGTTGGGAAAAATGGTGAAAGGCAAAAGGGTGTTGCAACACTTGTGTTTTTACCCTGGGGCGCTTGGGCTAGCAGGCAAAAACATGAGTCGTGGAAGTCGGAGTGACAGTGTCGTGGATGCTTATGAAGTGAACTTTTACGCCATGATGCTGTTGCAGTGTATAAGGTGTATTTGATGGCGTCTGTGCAGAGGAAAAGTGTATTTTCTCCCGTGGTCTTGGTACTTCCATGATGGGCATTTGATACCTGCGGTTTCCTCATCAGGCAGCTTTTTCAGTGTTGAAAGCACTGTATAATCTAGTGAGCAGAAGAGAGTTACAGAGTAAGTGATAGGCTTCTCCGTAAGAAAGTGAGAACTAGGCCTTGCATCCTCGTCATCTAGAGTCCCCCCACATATGAGACTATGCCTTGTTTCCCAGAGATGGCTCCCTTGATGGCTTTTCCTTGAGGATTGGAAGACTTGCATGGTTAAAGTGTATTTGCATTTGAACTTTAACCTGGCATGCTGACACTATCTCAATTAACCTTCCTCAAAGCCTTTCCCCTTTACACTTGTAAAGCCAACAATATGGCTTGAGGCTGTGGAAATAGGCCTAGCTCAGTCTGCCCTTACGGTGGGCCAGACTTTTTAAGTACCATTTATTGAGCTCTTCAAGGCAGATGTTTAGACATATACTTCATTCATATTGTGTTGTGAGGTAGATAATATTCCCATTTTACAGGTGAGAAAACTAAGGTAAGAGAGGTCAAGTACATGACTCATAAGTAACAGATTGGTTTTGGGCAGAGAATCTTGTGTCTCCCTGTCTGTCATGTAAGGATCTCCCAGGGGAGGCTCTGTGGGCAGTTTAGGGAGTGAGGAAGTCCTCAGTGCCACTGGCCAGGGTGTCTTCCTGGATCTTGAGCCTCCTAAGTATAACTATGCCATATCGGAAGAAGAGGGACATTATATTTCTTTGGGCAGATGACCACATTCTTTGAAATGTTGTGTCCTGTCAGAAAACACCTACTTAGAAGAAGCTCTGTGTGGTTTGCCCTTATGGAGGGCTGGTGCTCTGCTGGGGTGAGGCTTGGAGACCTCCCTTTTGGAAAAAGGAGATATGGTTTGGTCAGAGGAGACATGGGGATTGAGGAGAATTTAAGGTGCTTTAGGTTTTCCAAGGGGTGCTGCATCTGTCAGGGAAATTTAGAAAGCATGCAAAAAAGTGGCTTCAGATTTTCAAATTATCCAAAAAAAAATTTTTTTTTCTAAAGTTGGCCTGGAACTTGCTATGTAGACCTTGAATTCACAGAGATCTACCTACTTGTTTCCCTTGTGCTGGGATTAAAGGTGTGCCACAACTAGGCCTTAACACATTTCTTACCCCCATACCCACAGGGTTTCTCTGTATTCTTTGGCCAACTTGGAACTCAGAGATCCGCCAGCCTCTGCCTTCTGCCTCCCAAGTATGGGATTAAAGATGTGCACCACCACCTCTTGGCTTTTTTTTTTTTGAGATTTATTTTTAGCTGGGCTGTGGTGACACATGCCAGGGCTACACAGAGAAACCCTGCCTCAAAAAACAAAATGGTTTTTATTTTATATGTATGAGTGCATGCCTGTCTGTACATCATGTTGTGTAGTGCCCTTGAAGGCCAAAAGAGGGCGTCAGTTCCTCTGGAACTGTAGTTATAGATGGTTGTTAGCCACCATAAATGCTGGGAACCTGACCCCTGTTCTCTGGAAGAGCAAAAAGTGCTCTTAACTGCAGAGTCATCTCTTCAGGCTGTGCCACATCCAGGCTGTGAGGTGCGTGCTTGTCATGGAACAGAATGCATTTTCATCTCCAGTGAAGACCCTGCAGGCAAGGCAAGGTCCCCATAAGAGATGGAATCAAGGACCTGTTTTATGTTTTCTTTTTTCTTTATATTTATTTGTTTATATGTTTATACATTTATATATATATACATATATATATATATTTATGTGTGTGTGAGTAAATCCCATGTGATCGTGGGTGCTCTCAAAGGCCAGGAGAGGGTCTCAGATCCCCTGGAGCTTGAGTTACAGGTGGTTATGAGCCCCTGATATAGGTGCCAGGAACCAAATTAGGGTCCCAAGGAAAAGCAAGGAGTACTTTTAACCTTTGAGCACTTTTTAAAAAATGTTTCTGACATGGATTATATGAGGAGGATATTATCTTAGTTAGCAGCTGTCTGCAGAGATACAGGGCTAAAGGGAGCTCTTGACACTAGGCTGCTTTCAGAACAGTTTTGGGGGAGAGGAACAGATGACTCCTGGGGACATGTGTCTCCTTTTTCAGCCTGTGTCCTCATCTCTACTTGAGCTGGAGTTGAGGTACTCCTAGGCAGCTGATTGACCCTGGTAGGAGTCAGCGATGGGCATGTGAAGGTGACGAGCTGGGAGTGCTGTAGGATGAGACTGAGGTGATGTGTTCCGAGAGTGGTCCTCAGAATGTGTCTTCTTTGGAGTGGACCGGGAATCCCGTGTGGTTTTCAGTTCTATGAGGAGAGTAAGTCATTGCAGAGGAACACTGGTACAGAAATGACTCCCTCAGCAGGTGCAAGTGTGCCCAGGCCTGTCTGTAGGGTGACAGGTGGCAGTGGGGTATGCAGTGCAGTTGTTTTGAAGACAGGTTCAAAGGGCAAGTCAATGGGGGAGGAAGTGTTGTGTGGAAACTGTAAGTTTGGGACATGTATCAGTCAGATCTTCTCGGTCATGCATTCTTCTGTGACTGGATCACGTTGCTCACTTGTTTGGTGTGATGCCAGACCTTTTTAAAGTTACTTGAATGTTGTGAACAGGTTGTATGTTCACAGTCTCCAGCTGTTAGATCAGAGGTAGTGAGCACTTTCTTAGAGTTATAGAGATGTGTTCTCTCTGTGGTGAGAAAGGGCTGTTTGGAATTGGGATAGCTGTTGGGTGCAGCTTTGGTCCCCGACCTTTGTTTGCATTTATATACTCATAGAAAGTCTGTTTTTATTGTTAATCCAGAAAGTTTTCTTGATGTTAAAGTTGATTATTTTTTTTTTACTCTGAGACATTGCAAATTGTTTTAATGTGCTAAGAATGATACTTAAAGAGCTGAAGAGATGGCTCTGCAATTAAAAACACTGGCTGCTCTTCAGAGGACCTAGGTTCAATTCCCAGCACCCACATGGCAGCTCACAACCATCTGGAATCTCAGTTCCAGGGAGTGTAAAGTCCTGTCCGACTTTCTTGGGTAGCAGGTACACAAGTGGCGCACAGACTTACATGTAGACAAAACACCCATACGCATAAAAATGTTTTTTAATTGAAAAAAAAAACAAGGCCAGTTGATGGTGGTGGCGCCTTTAATCACAGCACTGGGGAAATAGAGGCAGGCGGATCTCTGTGAGTTCAAGGCCAGCCTGGTTACAGAGCGAGATCTAGGACAGGCTCCAAAGCTACAGAGAGAAAAACCCTGTCTCGAAAAACCAAACCAACCAAATAAAAACAGATAATTTGTTATGAATGATTAACTTTTAAAATATTTACTATCTGTTGAGAAAGGGTCTCACTGTGCAGCCCTGACTGGCCTTGGAACTCACTGTGTAGTCAGGCTGACCTAGAACTTACAGAGATCCACTTTGGATACTGAGATCTAAAGGTATGCAGTACCACACCTGACCCCCTCCCTTTTTGTTTTTAAAGATAGAATCTCATATAATGGGCTGGAGTCAACACAGTATATAGCTAAAGATGACCTTGAACTTCTGGTCCTCCTGTCTCCACTTTCCAAGTGCTGGGATTTGTGCAGACCACACTGGGAAGGATTGA